TGCCATTAATTATCCTTCCTCCTGCCCGTCCCGATATCGACGCCGAGGCGGGCCCCAGTAGGCTGCGCCTTGGCGCCTTGCCTGGCCATGACTGGCTTGAGGGCCTCGCAGAGCCACGCGGAGCTAGCCAGCCGGTAGCGTTCGCCGCTCTCGCCGAGCGAAAAGGCCAAGTCCACCCCGGCGAACTGCTCGACGGCTGCGGCTGTGAACTCTGGCGCCTCCACCGCCAGATCCCGCCGCCTGCCTCGCCGCTGCGCGCGCAGGTCGCCCACGCGCAGCTTCCAAACGACCCGCGGGTGCCTGGCCACCAGCTCGCCCATCCCATCCCGGCCCAACATGCGCGGCAACGCAGACGAGAACTTGCTGCCGGACACTGCGGCCGTCTGCGTGCCCACCTCGTCCGCGCGACAGCCGTCTACCACCGGCGCCGCGGCCATCGCGGGCACCGACATGGCCGCCGCCAGGATGGATGAACGGGGGAGCCCCGCCGCAGGCCCGCCTCCCACAGCTCGACCAGCGGCGCCCTCTCGAAAAGTTTGGGTCGCCCGCCTCGCGCGTCGCCAGCACCTCCCGCGCGGCCCGCTCTGGGCCCCTGCCGCGCACGTCGAGGCCCCGCATCCAGAGGGTGCTCGCGGCGCCATTATGCAGGTAGGGGGCCCTCATCCACTCCCGCGCCCGCGCCAAGGTGGACAGCAACCCGATCGCGCGGTCCTTTGTGGGTGACTTGGAAATTCGGGACAGGGCGCCATCCGCTTGGCCCTCGCCGCCGCCGCCCCCGCCCTCCTGCGCGTGGGCGTCGGTTTCGGCCGCCCGCCGCCCGAGCAGCTGATCGGGCGGTCGCGCGTCGTCTGCATCTGCGCCGCGCTCGCCCCCCGCCCTCCAGACAGGGGGCCCCGCTGCTTGGCGCGCTGCCACGGCCCAGGGGGCCGGCTTCCCAGCCGCGACAAGCTCTGGGCGCTCGGCCCAGTGTTGCCTCCGGCCCTGCAGCGCAGCCACGCCTTTGCGCACCTGGCTCCTGTGCGCGCCCTCCAGCTCAACCTGGCCCGCAGCCTCGTCGCGACTTGCCCTGTCCACCAACGCGGCTTATCCGCGGGCTCATGGGGGCGCGGTTCGCTTTGGGAGCCTCTCGAACCTCTTGGCTGCGGCAATGCGGGGCGTTGCCTTTTCCACACCTATCTGGGCGTTGCGGGTCCCACTCCAGCCACCGGAGGCCACGGGCCTCATGCTCCAGCCACTAGACCACCTGCGCACGCGCCCGCGTGGCCTGCGCGCTGGGGACGAACTGGGGGCGCGACGGGTCGGTCGGGGGCTCGGGCGCGCACCCGATGATGCGCGATGGCAGCGGCCCGGCGCGTTGCAGAGCCCCCCCCCCGCTAGCTGCGTCGGCGCGATGTCCAGCCTGCGCCCAGCGGGCTTGCGCGGGGAGGGCGGCCGCTTCTCGTCGACCCAGGCGCTGACGGGCCTCTCCCCCAGCGTGGCGTCCACTAGTTACGAAGAAGTAGATGGTGCTGCCCAGCGCCCCGCTGCGGCGCGTGCCCGGCGCCGTCGCGGGGTGGCTACGATTTATCCTGAGGCCCGCGCGCTGGGCGAGCCACTGCTGGACATTCCCCCCGGCACTCGCGGCGACCCCGTCTTGTGGAGCATGCCCAGCACGCGCTTCAACATGCGCTCGATGCGCTCGCTGAGGCCCTCGCCCGTCCAGAGGTTCGCGCCGGCGACGATCAGCCCCGTGCCCGCGGCAGCCCATAGCACGACTGCCCGCCCCCTTTGCTGCTACGGGGCGAGACGCCCCACGACGTCGCCCCCGCAGGGTACGCCAGGCCAGTGAGCTTAGGCGCTGCCACCGCCACTCCTGCTGACGCGCCCACCTCGTCGTGGCCGCCCATGGTCGCCACCGCTGCAGCTGGCGACGACCGCCATCCCATGTTAGCTAGCGACTTCTGGACCACTGCAAGTGCGTCGCGCCTCAGCTGGGCCCCCTGCAATGCATGACAGCACCTGCCAGGCCTGTCGGCCCCCAGGAGCCCGGTGCGCGACTTGCCCGAGCCCGAGCCGCTGAACGCCCAGATTTCGCTCGCGCCGCCCACGGCGCGGCAGCCATTGACTCGCCCGGACACATCTGCCACCTCTGGGCCGACAGCAAGCGCCGCGGCGTAGCTGCCGACCCTCAGGTCGTCGTGGAACTGCACCTGGACTCCTGGCTGCGCCTGGGCGGATGAGGCTTCGCCGCCTTCCGCCACCTCTGCCTGCTGGCCACAAGCGCCTGAACCGTCTGCGCGTCCGGGATGCCACCCTGCGCCTCGCCCGCTGCCTGGGCCGCTGCCTCGGCGCTCTGCTGCCGCCTCCTTCTGGCCTTCGGCCCATGGCCCATCCGCACGCAGTCTTTCAGGTCACCGTCGAGTGACCTTCGTGCATCTTGGAGGTCCAGCTCCGCACCTGGCCATGGTAGCCTCATCCGCTCTTCCTCTCAGGCTGTCCACCGCGGGCCCCCGCCAAGGGGGCGCTGGGTATCTCATGGATGGCCCCTGCAGCACTGGATGCAACAGGCCACGACCCATGCCGCTGCCGCTTGAGTTTGCACTCGCGTTGCCTCTGCAGGGCGTCGCGGCGTCGCGCGCGCCCCTCGGGCTGGGCGGCTACGCCGGCGGGGGGGGGGGGCGGCGCAGCCCAGGAGCCATGTCCGCTCCTCCTCGCCCGCTTCGGGGCCGACGTCCTGGCCCGCTGCCACGTCGTCTCCAGCTAGCCGCAGTGCGCCTCCACCCGCATCAGCAGTCTGACCGGGGGCAGGAAGCTCAGTCGCGGGCGCTGGCTCGGACTCGCCCCGCTAGTCGGCGTCGGCCGCCAGCTCCGCGAAGTCGAAGCCGCCGCGCGCTGCCGGCGACATGCCCAGCTTGATGGCCATCTGCTCGAGCTGGATGCGCAGGAGGTCCACGTCCTCGGGCATGCAGCGCAAGACTTCTGCGCCCCAGCGGCCGCCAACAGCGCGAACTCCTGGGCCTTGGCCTCGGCCTGCACCTTCCGCGCCGCGTGGAACTGCGCATGCAGCGCGGCCGATGCTTGTTGCGCCTTGCTGGTCGCGTCCACCAGCTGCTCCACCTGCTTCTCGCTTCTGGCACGCTTGGCGGCCGCGTCGCGCAGCTGGGCCGCTCAAGGCTTGGCCTGGCCCCTTGCCGCGCCGCCCTCGGCCAACTCTTCCTCAATTTCCGTCTGCAGGCCGAGGAAAGCGCCAGGGACGTCCTGGCCGTTGCCCTTGAGGACGGCAACCGAATGTTCCAGCCGCCTCTGCTTGTCCAGAAGTCTCTCCACGTCGTTGGGTTTGTCTTTTTACTCGGCCCGCGCCTTGACCGTTTGTGGCTCTCTCCCCGTGCCTTGAGCCCCCTGGGCTTGCACCAAAACCTCCTGCATCTGCTGGGCGCGCTGCTGCAGACTCGGGATCTGCTTGTTTTCGATATCCGGCTGCTTTGCCATCGCCACCGCGCCCTGCTTGCCGAGGTGTTTCGCGCCCGCCGCGCCAGCCGCCTGCTAGGGGTTGGGCATCTTGGCCTGGTTGCCTCCTCCCTGGGTTCGCCCGCGCTTCGCGCCGCAAGCCCTGCACTCCGCGCGGCTGCCCCAATTGGCCCCCGTGCAACAACTGCCGCACGTCCAGACCCGTCGCCCGCCTGCGATGGTTGCTCCCGCCTGGCCGCCGCCAGTCTTCCACTCGGGACTGATATTGCCCTTCTTGATCACTGTGCGCCAGGCATCGTCGCCGCCGTCCGCCATCCGCGCTCCCCCGCGCCGATACGAGCCCACAGCTGGGACTGACAGTCATAGTTCATTGTTTTTGGCCCTGCCACGTACCTCCCTTGGTGCTCCGATCGCCTCGTCAAGAATTGCACCCTACGGGAGGTGCCATGGCCTTGAGCCAGAAACTGTTACCAGCCATGTGTGTGAGCTGTGCGGCGTAAGCTATGTGGTGCATGATCGATTGTGTGGGCTCTGCGGTCTCAACGACATTGTTCGGAGCTGTGTTGTGCAAGCTAAACGGTGTAAGCTGTGCTGTGCGAGCTACGCGGTGCAAATGTGGTCTGAGCTACGCGGTATGCGCCATGCGGTGGAAGGCATGTGGCGCAGACACACCATGCGGGTGGCAACGAGGCGGCCACGGGGCACCCACGAGCGGCGACGCGGCGGAACCTCGACGAACACCCCAAGAGGGCGGCCATGAAGCGGCCACGAGGCGGCGACAGGGCGAAACCTCGACAGACCCCCAAGTGGGTGGCCACAAGGCGGCCACGGGGGGCAACGAAAAAAACTCGACAGAATAACAACTTGCTTAGAAAGAGAAGTAAGACACCCTGTGTGTAAGCACTTTTTGGATAATCGAACCCTCCGTTGCTAAACAGTTGCTTCCTGTCGAAATCCTTTTCCTCGTCCTGCCTCTGCTGCCTGGTGTCTTCGGCCCTCCTACTGTACGACTTATTAGCCAAACCCGCGGCACAAAGGATCACCAACTTCGGAGAAATTGCCTCACCGTCAGGCCGCCCACGGTTGCCCCACTACTCCCGTGGGGAAGCCAACAAGCAGCTGCGAAGCCAACGAAAAAGCCTAAATACGCCACAGAGAGCTCAACGGGACTGGGACAACCTCGATGCAAACCCTCGTCGGTCCAAGAGAATGCAAAGAATCGGCTGCTCTGTGAAACCCAAGCCATCGTGGCGTGGCGCGGCGATACGCTGTGGATTGGCATAAATACGCATGAACTGTCGAAGGTCTTCGTGGATTTCTCGGATCGAAGCCCGACCACCCTCTACTGGCTGGGGCCCAACTCCAATCCCAGAAATCCGCGCAGACCTTCGAACACTTATGTTTATACTTTATACAGTTTCTTCTTCTTCGAGACAAGATGGCCTGTGATGTACGAGGGGAAGGAGAACGAACAAATGAACACGAGAGGACGAGAGAGGACGAGGGATGAGGAAGGAGAAGAATGACGAGGGAGGATGAAGAGGAGGAGGAGCCTGAAGGTCATCGCGGTCACGCACACCCCCGCTGGTGGTGCTGAGACTCTGCTCGGCGGTGGCGCTGGCGCCTTTCACGTCATCTAAGAAGGTCTCGTTCCGGTCCGGGCAGAAGAGTGTCGGCGTCGGGGGACGTTCAAACTCCTGGATCTCGTTCAGGTAGGCCTCTGTCGAGGAATAAGGGGACGGTACGAAGATGGAGAACGACGAGGAGGACACGCTTACGGAGAGAGGCGACGGCCTAGCTAAGGCATAAAACATACACTGTCCGATGTCTGCACGGGTATCCGACAACCTAGATGTTCTCACACGACAGGTTGGGGCTGTCCAATATCACACCCTGCGCACCGCGGCTGCAAGGCCCAAAGTGTGCTGGTGCTCCCTGATTACCCCGCCTCGTGCCTTCGACGAATGACGACTGCATGCCGCGGCCGCAAGGTCCAAACTGTGCTGGTGCTCCGGGACACTATCCCGCCTCGCGCTCTTGGGCGGGGATCGCTCGACGCAAAGAAACTCTTCTTTGACTCTGTGCGGCGAGAGGCGCGGGGGGGGGCATGAGAAGGAGAAGGCCTTCGGAAGGAGAAGGCCTTCGGAGAAGGCGGCGGGACTTCTCAGAAGCCCTCGCGCCTTCTGAGAAGTCTTCTGTGTCTTCGGGGAAGGCTCAGTAAACTTCTCAGGAACCGTGGGACTTCCGAGCCTTCTGAGAAGGCCTTGGCCTCCTCACTTCCCCCTGGGCTCGCCGCCGATCTGTGGAGGAAGACGACGAGGGCGAGGAGTGTGAAGGAGGACGAAGAGGACGCGCTCCCGCGACGCGCCCACGCAGGCCTCCTCCGCCGTGGGGTCGGCGCCCCCGCGGGGTCGGTCCCCTTCGCCGCTGGGCCGGTGGAACGCGCTGCACGTCTGCGGGTTGGGGTCCATGATGGTCGTCATGGGGTCTGCCATCACGAAGACGCCCGGCACCAACCACGCACCGTCGTACTCGCAGCTCGTCCGTCGACCCTCTTCTCGGGCCGCCGGGCGTGTGAGGCTCCTCTCCCTCCCTCCCCTCCTCTTGCAGCTCCCGCTCTCCTCCCCCGCCGGGCACAAGCTGCAGGCTTGAACGGGGGCACGGCCTCGTCGGGGGGGCTCCAAGATGGCCCCTCGGGGGCCCCAAGGGGGCCCGAAAACGGCCCAGAGAGAACCCCCCAAAGCTCCACGAGGTGGCCCAGGAGTGCCGCTATGACAGCCCAAAGAGTAAGGAGGGGGGAGGGGGACACAAGGGGAGGAAGGTGGAGAAACATCGGACGGAGAGTGCCTGCCCAGACGTGAATCGCGGAGCGGATCGGGATCCTCCAGAACTGGCTTGCTGCGAGGGAGGTCATGACGCCATCCTCGACGACCTCCTTCCGCAGCCACCCCTGGTCCCGGGCCATCTGCACGCCCTCCCAGCAATCCTGGACCGTCATGCGGGGTGCCCCGTGGCTGGTCGCCAGGGCCCTCGGGGACACCCACGAGCACGGCAGGGCCAGGCCCGCGTCCTCCGGCAGGACGCCGCGCACCTGCCTTGCGGACCAGCCCCAGCCGAGCACGAGGTAGGCTCCGACGACCACGGCAACGTTCTTGCGCTGCTCGGGCTCGTACTCGACGAAGACGGGCTTGCCCTCCCCCTGGAGCCGGACGTGCAGCTCGTGGCAGAACCACAGCGTCTGGTCGATGGCCGGCGGGCCGGTGCAACCTCCAAGGCTCCCCCTTGCGTAGTGGCAGACCTCGTAGCGGCCCTTCCTGAACTCGGACGCGGTGATGTCGTCGAACGCCAGACAAACCTGGTCGCCCGCGGCACTGCCGGCGGGGCCGTAGCTCAACCGCTGCGGAATCAGAGTCTTGCAAGCCATGGCGCCTGTCGCTGGGAATCGGCGGTCAGAATATCCGGGTGGGCCGCGCACCCAGCCATTCGTCTCGGCTCGAAGCCTGCGGCGCGCCGCGGACCGAGCGCGCGATCCCGAAGTCCGAAATGAGAAAAAGAAAAGACGCCATTGACAACAACGTCCGGAAGTCCGCGCGGATTCCTTGGATCGGCGCTGGACCCCCCTCCCCTGGCGCGCGGAGCGCGCCAGGACAAGAGAGCCCCAGCGCAGATCCAGGGAGGCGGCTCCTCTGTCGCCGCTCCCGGCGAGCTCCGCGCGCTAAGGATGGGAGTTCAGCGCCGATCCGAGAAACCCTCGCGGACCTCAAAGTGCATGTTCACGCAGCGGTTCTTCTTCGACCAGTGGCACGAGTGCGCCATGAGGTCAGAGGCCCGAGGCGGGGATTTGTTCACAACCACGGCCTGGGGGTTCGATCTGCGGCGACCTCGGCAGGCGGTGGATGTATGGACATCTCTGGCCTCTCCGGAGCCCGATGATACCCAAATCAAACGCTCATCGAGGTCCTCAAGCATTGGCTCGGGGGGGAAACCATGGCCTTGACTTGGCGTTGCATCGCCCATAGATCAGCGCCAGGCGACAGATCCACGGGGCGCGCGGGCGGCAGCTCCACGGATCGGGGCCCCGCGAGCAATTGGAGCCAGCACCGCCTCCTTTGGCGACGCAGCGCGCCGATTCCGCACGGAAACGGGACCCGTCGCTAGTCCACTCGCTTTTGTACACGGCTTCGACTCCTCGTCACGCCGAACCAGCCCTCACCTGTCCACTGCGCCAGCTTAGACGACCATCCACGAGCCGAGCCAGTCCCCGAGCCATGCTAATCGAGTCCTCCCCCTGGGGGCAGCTGCTTCCCCCCAAGCCGGGTGCCCCCATGCCGCTGCTTTCCCGAAACCACAGGCGATGGATTTTCGGCTGCAGAGCTGCAGCGTCTGGCAGCGGCTGCGAGGCCAGGCGGAGGGAGCGCCAAGAGGAAGGCCGGGAAGCGGGGGAGCGCCAGCGGGAGGGGGAGCGGGGAGCTGGGAGCGACTGGGTCTCCCGTTGAAATGCAGATCGTGCTGTCCTCCTGGGCCTGCCCACCTCCTCTTCTTCAGAACTCACGGGCAGCGGGGAGCGCCTCGGGGAGGGAGGCCAAATAACGCCCTGACGGCCAACGATAGGGGCTACCAACTCAAGGGAGGAAACATCGACGCGGTACTCAGGGAAGGGCAAATGCCGATACCGGTATTCGTCCTGGAGCTCCCTCGTCGAACCGGCTGGCTTCTCCGCGAGATTCTGGTCAGAACGCACCCGGGAAGAGGTCTGGGAGGTGGGGATGGGTGCCGCCTTCTTCAGGTCTCGCAGCCCCCCCTGAGAAGGGGCACGCTGGGAGAGCCAACGTGCCATGCCCACGTCGGGACTGGCATGGTTCTAGCGATGATGGTTGATGTAGGAGCGCGCGCGTACAAGACCGCACTCCAGTGACGATGCGGCACTTGAGAAGGAAGGCACGGTTGGCAAGCTCACGGAGGCCCTGGACCATCGCCTACAGCAGGCACGCGCGATATGAAATCTAGCCATCTGACATTATTAAGGCGCTTATTCGTCGATCTCTGGGGAACCCGAAGAGCCCAAGAGCTGATGTTGGTCCCTGGGGCCGCTTGGAGATGAACGACTTCAGTGGGGCAGATGCTGGGAGGCCGACTCATGTTATTATCCTTCTTCTTTTTATGACCAGTATTAAAATACTATTTCTCTGATTGTTATTACTATCATCTGTATTCTTCGACGCGCTTGTTGTGTATGGGGGTCGCGTGCGTCGAAGGCCGATATAACCGAATACCTTCGAGAATAAAAAACTAGGGGATAATAAAGTTCGGGGTTCAGGGGGAGATAATCAAAGTAGCCCACCAGACCTCAGCGTAATCTCGAAGTAAGAGATGATCAAGAGGAGACCAAGCCGAGCACGTTTTGAGACATCCTTGGCGTTTAGTCTTCATAGACATATGCTCAACAATGGATTATCTCGCTGGAGACATCCTCGACAAATCCCTTGTTTCGCTTGCGACATCCACAAACTGTTGCTTATTTCGCTTGAGACACCGTCAAACTATTGCTTATTTCGCTTAAGAAACGTATCGCTTCGCTTGAGACATCCTTCAGTATATTCTTGTTTCGCTTGAGACATCCTCGAGTATATGCTTGTTTCGCTTGAGACATCCTCGGAATAGCTCATCCGCCTCGGTGTCCCTGGATAACCAACCGCGGCGATAATAAAGTTCAGGCGGGCGGAGGAATGGAGAAAGCGATATACACAAACAAAAATAAAAAGAAACAATAAGAAATGAAAAAGAAAAAGGAAAAACATCAAAAATAAAAGAAAACAGAGGAGGAGGAGAAAGAGAAGGAAAAATCTCAAGTTCAAATGTATTAGATATTATTTACAAACGCTTTATGAAAATTAATTGTTTTAAGTGCTCGTCTAGGGTAGCTCATGTGCTTCATTTTCCATGGATAATCAACCCCAGGGATAAAAAAGTTCAGAGGGGGGGCATGGAGAGAGAGAGAGAGAGAGAAAGAGAGAGAGAGAGAAAGAGAGATACATCACAAAGAAAAAGAAAGGAAGGACTTAAAGAGAGAATATATAGTTAAAAAGAAAAGTATAATAATAATTGAAAAGGATAAGAGAAGAGGAAAGGAGGATAAATCAAAAAATCTGAAGATTCAAATGTATTAAATTTTATTTACAAGCGCTTTATGAAAATTATTGTTTGTAGTGCTCGTGTAGGGTAGTTCACGTGCCTCGTTTTCCCTGGATAATCAACCCCAGCGATAAACAAGTTCAGGGCGCCAGGGGGAGGAGGAGGAGAAAGAGATAGAGAGACAGAGAGAGAGAGACAGAGAGGCCAGGAAGGAGAAAGAGATAGAGAGACAGAGAGAGAGAGAGAAAGAGAGACAGAGAAAGAAAGAAAGAGAGACAGAAAGAACTACAAAGAGACAGAAGGACATTGGTTTCGCTTGAGACATCCTGAAACAACGTGTTCGCTTCGCTTGATGTTGTTATCTCAACATAAGAAGGAAGTAACTTCGATGGCGAACTTTTCCCGTGATAATGAAGTTCGGCCTCCGCGCCCCCGCGCCCCCGACCAAACTCTTATTGGTCGACGATAAAAAACTCTAACGACTTAAGGGGGGGGGGTCACTTTATTCTGATCGGCATGCGGTTATGTTATGGGCTGCGTGTGCGCTAGGTGGCGGCATCCAACCCCTTCCCCCACCAACCACTGACTCTCCTGAATCGATGGGAGGCGGGGGTAAGGTTCGTCTGATTTCGCCTCCGAACTGGTGCCTTCTTTCCGTAGTAGCCGGTCCACCTTGGCCCTTGGCGGCCTCCGTGCCAGATGGTTATTCGCTACGCTGCGCGGCGGCGGCGGCGGCGACGATCACGGCGACGACCACGACGACGACCACGGCGGCGGCTGGCCCCACCGCAAAGCATTCGCCCGGCAGCGGGGCGAACCCGGCCGTGGAGGGGCGAGCGCGGCGAGCGGTTCACCCCAGCTCAGGGCGACTGCTGACACGCAAGCGGATCTTCGGCTGGTGTACGCACTCTGCCGCTTTCTCGCGACTCCCTCCTCTTGGTCGCGGGTCCTCCTCTTCCTCTTCCTCCCGTGCTCCCCGCCCTCCCTTTCCTCCTCCCCGTCCTCCCCGTCCTCTTTCCTCCCCCTTTCCCTCATATCTCCGCCCGTCCTCCGCGTCGTTTTCCTCCTTCCCCCTCCCCCCGCCTCCCTCACTCCTCCTCCCGTTTTCCTCCTCCTCCCCCCCCCTCTGCGCGCGCCAACGCTCCTCGCATATATCAGCGCGTTCGACCGCGCCGCCTCGGCCTCTGGGGTCCTTCGCGCGCGCGCCAGGCTCGCCCCCCCCCCCCACACCCTTCCGCTCCGCCAACTCTCGGGCGGCCACCGCCGCCGATGAGGAAACGGGGGGGGGAAACGACCGAGACGAAGAAAAACACCAAGTTCGTCATTCCAAGCCGTGTGATGAGTAAGGCCCGCCAGAAGAAGG